CTAGACGTCATGGATGGGTGACTATATTCCGTACATCACATCCATTCTCATCTCACTATTCTAATTGCAAGTCATTTCGTACCAAACATCACAATGGGTCTGTGTTTTGATATACACCACCCTGGCCCCTGACCAATTTTGCCAGGCGCACCCATTCTGTCCTGCGTTCACAAGGGTGTTCCAGGCATATTTATGGACTGCCATATGATGGTCGCCAAGCCAGAACAGGTCATATTCCATACAACAAATTCTCTTCTTCTCTTTTTCATCCGTAGGACAGTGGGTAGATGACATCGCAGACGCAGGTGGTTCATTGTACTGTTTCCACATCGAAGCTACCTGTATGTGATGCTGTTGCCCCTATCACTGATCCATAACTTATGCGTCTCAAGCCGACCCTGTCTCCCTCATAAACACCATACACAAACGCAACATGAAAGCTGGCGTTGCCATTTCGCCTGATACTCCCTCAACTGCTATCACAGACGAAATTGCCAATGCTGCAGACATGCTGCTTGTTATGACTGTATACCCCGGTTCGTCTCAAGTCCACCTCTTCATTGCGCCTGCTTTGCAAACCATCCCTACTAGGACGCGGCGGCCAAAAGTTTATCGAAAGGTGTGTTCCAAAGGTTGCTGAGCTTCGAGCCCGCTTTCCAGAGAAAGACATCGAAGTTGATGGTGGAGTTGGTCCCAACACAATCGGCATTTGCGCTGATGCTGGTTGGTCTTTTTCTATTAGTTTCCGGAGGACTATTGTGATCAGAGTTTGTACAACAGGAAGCAATGTCATAGTTGCAGGCACAGCCATTTTCGGATCGGAGAACCCTATGGAGGTCATTCAGAGGTTGAAAGACACTGTCAACGCAGCCCAAGCACAGAGCGGTGCTAAGTACTAAGATTAGTAGCGGGTATATATCATTTAGAATTCTACATGTGAGACGAGACTGCCAACAGATAGATAGTCTGCTTGTTGATTTATTAATGGGGTATAGAAATTACCAGTGCATCGTAACGTTTACATTAACATAAGTGAGTACTAGTGGTTACTTGTTGTGATCGAGTGTTACGTTGGAACGGCAGGGCGTGGCGAGGGAAAAAAACAATGAATGTGCCTTACGCGAAGCGAGCAAGCGAGCACTGTAGCATTGACTTTCCTTGAGGGGTGGCGTCATAAGTAGGTGTCATTGTCCAGTCGTGA